AAGTTAAAAAAAAAGTTCTAATAGTTTATTTGGTAGATAGTTGAAATATGGATTGAAAGATGGCCCACTGTGAGCCAGCTGGAAATGCCTGATCTCCCTTGGGTTAATGTAGAGGAAGGGATCAAAAGGCTTAGGGATATTGGGATGATAGAGTGGATTAGTCACTTTAGACCCACTCATTCCAGCTGGGAGAATCTAGAAGACATAGCCTTGACCAATGTCTTGGAAAATAGATTTGTGAGGACAGAACCTGCATCTTTGAAGAGCCCTGTAATAGCTCTTCTCTGTATGTCAGATGAAATGGTGGGAACCACAGTCTCTCTACTAGGAAATGTAAATACAATGGGAATAATTGAATCCCAAGGTGGCAGGGGCCAAGTGGCAGCACTAAACCGTCAAAAGCAAGGTGGGCATTGTTACAATAATGAAAAGCAGAGGCAAAGCAACAATCAGAATAGTCTGCCTCATGTAGAGCTCTGGCATCAGCTAATTAACCACAGTGTTCCTAAGAAGTGAAATTGATAGGAAGCCTACTGCATTGCTACTTAAATTATACAAACAGAAAACTTCTAGGTAGAGTGAACAAAAGACTAATTTCAATTATAAAAACAGAGAATCACGGCCCCTTAATCAATTTCCAGACCTGAGCCAGTTTAGACCTAGAACCTCTTGAATGAAAGGGAGGCCAGGTCCCCTTGATAAAGGACACCACTACATACTGACAGTTTATGCAGTGAATCTTTCTCCCTTTCTTCCCCAGTGAGATCTCTAGCCTTTTACCAGGGTAAATGTGCACTGGAGAAAGGGAAATGATCAGACGATTTGGGGACTACTGGACACTGGCTATTTGCTGACATTGATTCCAGGGGAGCCAAAATATCATTGTGGTTCTCCAGTTAGAGTGAAAGCTTAAGGATGTCAAGTAATTAATGGAGTGTCAGCTCAGGTCCAACTTACAGCGGGTCTAGTGGGTCCCTGGACTCATCCTGTGGTCATTTCCCCAGTGCCAGAATGTATAATTGGCATAGACATACTTAGCGGCGAGCAGAACCTCCACAATGACTCCCTGACTGGTAGGGTGAGGTCTATTATGGTGCAAAAGGCCAAATGGAAGCCATTAGAGCTGACTTGACCTAGAAAAATAGTAAAATGCATCCCTGGAGGGATGGCAGAGATTAGTGCCACTAAGTACTTGAAAGACTCAGGGGAGGCCTGGCGCGGTGGCTCAAGCCTGTAATCCCAGCACTTTGGGAGGCCGAGACGGATGGATCACAAGGTCAAGAGATTGAGACCATCCTGGTCAACATGGTGAAACCCTGTCTCTACTAAAAATACAAAAAATTAGCTGGGCATGGTGGCGCGTGCCTGTAGTCCCAGCTACTCAGGAGGCTGAGGCAGGAGAACTGCCTGAACACAGGAGGCGGAGGTTGCGGTGAGCCGAGATCGCACGATTGCACTCCAGCCTGGGTAACAAGAGTGAAACTCCATCTCAAAAAAAAAAGACTCAGGGGTGTTGTTTCCCACCACATCCCCATTCAACTCACCCTATTCTTCTGTGCCGAAGACAGACAGATCTTGGAGAAGGACAGTGGATTATCATAAGCTTAACCAAGTGATGACTCCACTTGCTGCTGCTGTAGCAAATGTTGTTTCATTACTTGAGCAAATTAACACATCTCCTGGTACCTGGTACGTAGCCACTGACTTGGCAAATGCCTTTTTCTTTATTCCTGTCCACAAGGCCCACCAAAAGCAATTTGCCTTCAGCTGGAAAGGCCAGCAATATACATTAACTCTCCTACTTCACAGGTATATCAACTCTCTAGCTTTGTGTCATAATTTTATTTGGAGAGATCTTGATCACTTTTCACTTCTGTAAGACATCACACTGGTCCATTACATTGATGACATTATGCTGATTGCATCCAGTGAGCAAGAAGTACCAAACACAGGACTTATTGGTGAGACATTGGTATGTTAGAGGATGCAAAATAAATCCCGTAAAATGCAGAGACCCTCTTCCTCAGTAAAATTTCTAGGGGCCCAGTGGTGTGGGACCTGTTGAGATATTCTTTCTAAAGGGAAGGATAAGTTGCTGCATTTGGCCTCTCCTACAACCAAGAAAGAGGCACAACTCTTAGTGGGCCTATTCGGATTTTGGAGACAACACATTTCTCATTCAGGTGTGTTACTCTGGCCCATTTATCAAGTGACCTGAGAGGTAACCAGTTTTGAGTGGGGTCCAGAATAGGAGAAGGCTCTGCAACAGATCTAGGCTGCTGTGCAAGCTTCTCTGCCACTTGGGCCATATGACTCAGCAGATCTAATGCTGCTTCTGGTCTCAGTGGCAAATACAGATGCTGTTTGGAGCCTTTGGCAGGCTGTCATAGGTGAATCACACCAGAGGCCTCTAGATCTGCCATCTTCTGCAGATAATTACTCTCCTTTTGAGAGACAGCTCTTGACCTGTTACTGGATTTTCTGGAAAACTGAATTTTGACTGTGGGTCATCAAGCAACCATGTTACCTGAACTGCCTATCATGGACTGGTCGCTTCCTGACCTGTCTAGCCATAAATTGAGTCATGCACAGCAACATTCTATCATCAAATGGAAGTGGTATATATATGTTGGGGCTCGAGCAGGTCCCAAAGGCACAAGTAACTTACCTGAAGAGGTGGCTCAAACACTCCACTTATGCCATCCTGCCTTCTCTCCCTCAGCCTGCAACAAAGGCCTCATGGGGAGTTCCCTATGATCAGTTGACAGAGGAAGATAAGACTAGGGCTTGGTTCATGAATGGTTCTGCACAGTATTCAGGCACCACCCAAAAGTGGATGGGTCTGATATACGCCAATACATATAAAATATTCACTGAGCACTTATTGCATAATAATTTGCCCTAGCTTCTGAGGATCCAAAACACAAAAACATTCTTTCCTACACTGAGCTTACATTTACTTATTGCCTAAGTAAATAATTTTAAGAATAATGAGAATTCAGAATTTTTTCCTTGCTTCTGCCTGTGATTCTTAATTCTGTGATTTAGTCTTAAAAATAAAAAATACTAAATCAGTGAAATCATATTTTTCGTTTACAAATTTTGACTTTCCATCGCACTCCAAATACAAGTCCTTGCTGTTAAAGTGTCCCTATTTGCTGCGACCCTGCCTCTTCATATTTCCATGGCTCTACGTTTGCCACCTTTCTCCTTACTTACTCTGCTTTTGAGTTTCATGGATAGTGCTGTTGTTTAGTTTACCTGAAACACTCTTCAGCGAGGTAAGTACATGGCTTGTGTCCTCCCTCCTGTTAAGTCTCAGCTTAAATACATCTTTATTGTTGAAATCTTTCATGACCACCCTGTACAAAGTATCAGCCTAACTTTCCTTATTATTATCCTGCTTAATTATCTTCATAGCAGTGATCACTAATGGATATAACATATAAACGATACTTTATCATCTATCTACACTCACACTTAATACTAGGAGATAAGCTGCATGGGAGCAAAATGTTTGTTTAGTTCATTGCCTCACTGACATTTGGAACAATGTCTGATACACAGAAGGCACTGGGCAGCAATTTATTAAATGAATAAAGATGTATATGATTTTCTATTTTTAAAATTTTCAAACTTATATAACCATAAGAACAATCTGGAGAATTATAAAACATTCAATTTCAATATTCTTTCAGCTTTTCTGTGATACTAAAGGATGGCACATAGTATAGATGAGCCTTTGTTTAGGAAGTACTTTTAGCATTTTTGGATACAAATTTTAAGGGGAGAAATGAATGGTTCTGAAATACAAAGTGAGGAAAACAGATATATTGGGATTCAGGGGTAAGGAGTGTTTGGAGAAATAGAAAAACATAGACAGGCAAGCACTGTCTTAGAGACAGTCCAGAACTAAGCAAAGTACATGGAGGATGAAGACTGCAAAGGCAGGTGGATAGCCAAAAAAAAAAAAAAAAAAAAAAAAAAAATGCCAAAAAAGAAAGTTGCCAAAGACATTTTACATTATATTTTTATTGGAAAACTTCTCCACTGGCTGTGAACTTCAATGAAATATTCAACAAAAGTGACTATAAAAACAATACAAGAAAAGGGGGTCCACAGGCCAGGTGCCATGGCTCACACCTGTAAGCCCACCACTTTGGGAGGCTGAGGCGGGTGGATCACAAGATCAAGAGATTGAGACCATCCTTGTCACCATGGTGAAATCCTGTCTCTACTAAAAAATACAAAAAAATTAGTTGGGCATAGTGGCACGTGCCTGTAGTCCCAGCTACTTGGGAAGCTGAGGCAGGAGAATCGCTTGAATACAGGAGGCAGAGGTTGCAGTCAGCCAAGATAGTGCCATTGCACTCCAGCCTGGGTTACAAGAGCAAAACTCCGTCTCAAAAAAAAAGGGGGGGTCCACTTCATATCTGGGTTTTAAAATACAGAAAAAAGTTAGTGAATAGAGACATGAATGAGACTGGGTGCTGAGTACTGATTGTATCCTCGCCAAATTTATATGTTGAGATCCTAACCCCCGATGTAATGGTGTGAGGAGGCAAGGCCTTGGGGAGGTGATTAGGTTGTGACAGTGGAGCGCTCATGAATGGGATTTCTGTCCTTTTTATAAAAAAGATCCAGAGAACTCTTTCTCTTTTTCTGCCAAGTGAGGACACAGCCAAAAGATGGCTATCTATGAACCAGAAAGTGGGCCCCCACTAGGCACCAAATCTTCCAGTACCTTGATTGATCTTGGACTTGCCAGTCTCCACAGTTGTGAGAAAAAAATGTTTATTGTTTATGTTACTCATTCTGTGCTATATTCATTATAGCAACCTGAACTGACTGAGACACTGGGAATCATTGAAAGCAGAAAGCAGAAACTTCAGAGAGGACACTGGATTTCAAAATATGGATCATTGTTATCAGTTATGATTTGATGAGAAAAGTAGAACTATGAGAAACAAAATGGATTTATTATAAAGTTTAAACCTTACATGATCTTGGGTGGTGGTTGAGCATCCTATGGAAGTCTTCTTCCCCTATGTCAGTTGATGATCCGAAAGCTAGAAAGGGAAAAAAGAAATAAAGTGAGAGAGAAGAAAGACAAGCTAGAATATTTGAGAATGAGCTGAAAGCCATGAGGATAAACTGAAATTTGTCCATTACATAGAGCTTTATTAGTCTCTCGCTATCTCCAGCCTACAGTTTTGTTTGTATGGAAGGCCTGCAGTATAGCTGAGGTATTCCTCTACAGTTTCATGTGAGTGTGGTCCAGGATCCAAGGAAACTGAAGAAAGAGATCAGATGGAGGATGAGGGAGCTCTGGGTCTGGCTGCCGTCCCAAGGAGATCTGGCAGAATCTAAAGCTGGAGTGGGCTAGCTACTGCCTCTAGCCAATGAAGTGAGCCTGTAGGTCCACCAAAAAATATGTGACTTGTAAGAACGTCTCACTCTAGTCTGATTTTCCAAGTATAAACCAGACTGCTGCTTAACTCCTTTCTTCCAAATCTTGTTAAGATGTTTATTGTGGAAACCCATAACATAGAATCATGTAAGAAAGGGAATTGGAAAATGTGGTTCAAAATGTGTGATTTTAACACAAGATAAATGCAGTCTGTAACCGATATGTACCGCTGTGTGAAAAGCACACAGTAGCATAAACAAGAGTGTAAAATGACAACCTTCATTTATGATTACCTTTTGAAGTTCTAGAGATTGGCCTTGGCTGGGTGGTTCTCGCTCTGGGTTTCTCATGTGGTTGAAGATAATGAGTGATGAGTCTGAAGTCATCTTAAGGATTTCTCTCACATGTCTGACTGATAATGATGCCAGTCACCTGGATCCCATCTGATGCTTTGGGCTGAAACACAACTCTGTTGCCTGGATTTCATCATGGCATCATGGCTGGTTTCCAGGGCAAGCATCTGAAAGCCAGACAGAAGCTGTTTCACCTTTTATGACATAACATTTGAAATCATGCATTGTTACTTCTGCCACATTAATAAATGTTTTAGTCAGGGTTCAGTTGGAGAAACAGGACCAGTAAGAAATACATACATTGAAGGGAATTCACTTATTTTGGAGGCTGGCTAGGCAAGTTTCACAACCATAAGGTACACCAACAGCAGCAAAATCTTAGAATTCTTGGATATGATTGAAGCTGCTGTCTATAGGCACAACTTTTTCAGAAACCCACCTTGCTCTGCTCCTAATCTGGAGATCATCAAATTCCACAGAATGGCTGCTGAATGAAAATGATAGTCACTACTTCAGTCACATTCACTTTGAAATCTTAAGTTCATGCTGAGAGCCTTTAAACAGCTCCTTGATACATTGATATTACTACTAGAAACAAGTTAATGAGCCACTGGAGAATAAAAGGAAAAAGTCAGGACTTGCAAATGAGTTTAGTCTGCTTATCCTATAGAAAAGAGCCTTGGTATGGTAGCTCTAGGCTGCATCACAGTGATTTGGAAGGCTTAGAAATTGCCATGAGTATTTGCAGATCAATAGATAAATAGCTTGATGAGAAAATCTTGCAGCATTGATAGAATCAGATATATTACCCATGTGTTTTTGTTTTTTTTTTGCTTTTGCCTAAACATCTTTCTGTCACACAAGATCTTCCGCTTTTGTGCTCTCAAAATAATAATTTAAAAATAATATTTATAAATATAAATCTAAAAATTAAACAGATTCAAAATATTTAAATTAAGCAAAAATGCTGACTTTATGTGAAATAAATAGAGTCACATTTACTATATTACTGATATCTTTAAACTTTCTTCTCTTGCTTATTTAACTTAAGCAAATAAGAAATGGATGTATTTAAGCTCTTTCACTGCTGATCACCAGCTTTAGAGAGTCTGTTCTCACAACTTTCGATCACAAATGGTGAGATCCATGACTATGTATGAAAACAAGCTGGGAGCAGTTTCAGCTTTCAGCATTCTGGGAATTTCTTCCAGAGAGTGCTTATCCTAGCAAAAGCAAGTGAAATATAGATCTAAATGCACAGTACCCTGTCATGTCCGTGACTTTACTGCTAAGGCTTCAAAAAGAACATTTGTTTTCAAACTTTTTTATCTGGGACTTCATTACTCATGGAAGAATCTTTCCTTTGTTAAGGACAGGTCCACTGATTTAGGAAATTAAGCCTAGGACGGTCCACTGTACAGTGACAACATATGATGTTAAATCAGGTAGAATTCCACATTACAGTGTGAGTTTTAAGCCTCCATTGAATACTCACGTGACCAGGAAATAAGAGGAAATAGTTCATGCAAGAATTCATTGTAACATGAATGAGTTATTTCTGCTTTTAACTTACTGAAAGTCTACTTAAAAGGCAAGGAACATATGTAAACTACTAACAGATTTATCAAGGGAGTCTATCATTGGCACAGTGTATTTTAAGGAAATTCAAGTTCACAAGGCATAAAAGACAAGTCTCACTGTTTCTTGCCAGTCAGACCACTTGCAAAATATGAAAACATCATATTTTGAAACTGACACATGTACATGTGAGTTGTTGGATGTTTTCTTGGAAGCATATGCTATGGAGAAAAAAAATCACGATTTTAGTGTGGTATAGTCCTTTTAAAAATTCTTAGAGGACACATGACAACTTTTTCTTAAATATGTGCATATTGTCACAGAAAAGGGAGAGAAGACACTATGAAAGTAAATCTGTAGCAGAAAAGTAAATATTGCAGCAGAGATAGTTTTTTCAATATAAGGAATAGCGTTCAGACCTGTCCAATCGGGGCTATATTGCCATAGGAGGTATTGAAGCTCGTTAGTTTTCTTTCTACTTGCAGTTTTTATTAATAGGGACAGACATTCACCATTTGAGCAACTCTGCATACATTAGCAAGTAATTTTATCGTGCCATTTGATTTAATAAGAAATGTATTCACAAAGGTCCATTTAAAAATAAGCTGTTTGTAAGTCAAGGCACATCTGTAGCTAGTTTCTTATGACTAGAAATATTAAAACTGAGTATTAATTGTTAGTTAACTGATAGAGGGGCTTTTTGTACTTGATGGAATGTCGAGCTCTATGTTCCTAGGAATACTTTGGTAATGCTAAAATTGTTAACAGCTCAATAAAGACTGCCAAAATAGAATTCAAAAAAGTTTGGCTTTACCGTTGCTTTTCCCTCATTTGATCATGGACATTTATTTAGCTTCTCTGTTTCTCATGCTTAGAGAACTATTGTGCAGCAAGATAGAATGGCATAATGGATGAAGGAGTTTATGATAGTCTAATATGCACAAAATATCATACTCTGCAGTTCTCTGATGTGGATTTCAGTAGAATTTGAAGAATGACTAATATTTATATATAAAGAGATTTCATTCTAGGAGAGTAAAGACAAAGGCAGATTACGTGGATTTGTAAATACTTTTAAAAACTTCCAATGAGCTATTCTGGCCAAATGGAAGGTAGGAGGAACCCACCCTATATGACATAAGCCAGTAAACTAGAATCAGTGGGCCAACTTTGGCCTGTTTTGGTAAACAAAAATTTATTGTATTTCAGATCTGCTATTTCTTTACATATTGTTTATAGCTGCTTTTCCGAGACAACTGGAGAGTTTAGTACTTACGGTTCTCTGGAGACTGAGTGGCCAGCAAAATTCTAAAATATTTGCTATCTATCCCTTTAAGAAAAGTTTGCTGACTCCTGCTTTAAGAAATCTTTGTGTGTCTTTAGAAACGAAAAAGAGAATACTTTGCCTATGAGGAATTCCCAAAGGATTTTCTCTGCAGCAGTGATTCCTTGTTCTTTGTTATTTTGGAGAGAATTCATATGATAGTTGTTAGAATATAAAAGACAATAATGGTTTAGTGGAAAAGCAGGAAGCTCCCAGCATTTCACAGCAGCTAAATTTCTGTCTCAGAAACAAGAAGGTTCATTTACAATTTATTTTAATGACAGTAATCATGATACCTGCAGTATATGACATTTTGTGTAACTTCAAGTATTATTTCATCTTTAGTATTAAACAGTAAATCTTGATATTGCTTGGGATTAGGAGAATAGTTAACTACATAAGTACTCATGCTATACCTGGTAGATACAAGATATATTAGACAGTCTTCATTCTTCTTCAGTACCTCATTTTCCCTCTGTTCATCTATTTATTTATTTCTTCTTGGTCAAAAAGGCAATTCACTTCAAAAAGCTATATTACTGAAAAATATGGTGGAACAGGTAAGTCTCATAAATTAGACAATTCAAAGATAAGGCTGTTTCTAGCTCACTACTAATTTTCCTTTGATTTGTGCTTTATTCCTTTTTACATAGCAGAAATCTGCATGCGTTTGCCATAAGCTAGGTTAACTTCACACTTGATGATTAGTTCCACGTGATTGGTTGTATCCACAAAACATATCTGGTTTCAGACCCTATCAGCCTGCAAACATATGATTATTTACTATATCAATATGATTCTTAAATTGCTTTTTAAGACTTTTGCTATTTAGTGCTGAGATAAAAATTTTTGAACCAGTTGGGCTTTCATTGAAATTGCTTGAGAATCATGAGTAAATCTTTTCATAAAAATACTGAGAGCAAGTAGAGGAAACATTGGCTTTATTGCCTAGAGGTAAGAGTACAATGCTATTTTTTTCTCTCTGTCTCTAGTGGTTAGTTAAGAAGCTTTAAGTCTTTGTGTGGTCCTTGGGTGGGACTGAAATAAGCCAAACATAAGCTTAATTCCTGTTTCTTTTTGACATGATTTTCTCAAGCTCTCAACTTCAGTTTTTATATCTTCAAAATTTGGCTGAAATTTTTTCTCAAATAGTTGCTATGTTTCAAGTTTAAGAAAACACATAATAGGCATGCTCTCATATACACAAGCATTTTCTATATTGCATCAATGTTAGAGACCTGATTTCTTACTGTTTTTTTGTTTTGAGATGGAGTCTTGGTCTATCACCAGGCTAGAGTGCAGTGGTGCCATCTCGGCTCACTGCAACCTCTGCCCCTCGGGATCAAGTGATTCTCCTGACTCAGCCTCCCAAGTAGCTGGGACTACAGGCATACACCATCAGGCCCAGATAATTTTTGTGTTTTGGGTAGAGACAGGGTTTCACCATGTTGGCCAGGATAATCTTGATCTCTTGACCTCGTGATCTGCCCACTTCACTCTCCCAACGTGCTAGGATTACAGGGGTGAGCCAACCCTTCTTACTGTTTAACAATATACTTAGATTATTGCATGTTAATAATCTGTATATTAATAATTGTATTATTATATATTAATAATCTGTATATTAATAATAATAATCTGTATATTAATAACCGCACCTGGCCCTTCTTACTGTTTAACAATATACTTAGATTAACATCCACATATTTACTAAAAATAAATTTTAATTGAATGGAATAAAGTTATTAGGCAAATTATTTACCATGACCAAATTTGTCCATAATTACAGTTTACTCATTTTGTAACTTACCCAAATATCATTCTTTTAGGATATATAACATAAATTAGGAGATATCATTGATATTTCTTTCTCTGATAATGTCTACTGCAGTAGATGAAAGACTTCATTAAATATTGTCAAAATCCTGCTATTTACACATAGTCCTTAACGCTTTTGATTCCTGGGAACATGGTACTGATTATCATCTTACTTAGTGTCACATCTATTAGAATTTTTATGGGAGTGGTGACAATTGCCACTCCCTAGAAAGTGGCTATGAATGAAGATTAAACAGCTGCTTTGAGTCTAGATTGTTATCACCCAAATTGAAACGACATGAAAGATTGTATAGAGAAGGCAAGCAGCTTGTTAAGGAGAAAATTTTCTAATAGAGACATCCTACCTGTATATCTAAATCAATTCTATAGATAAAAACATCAAATCAATGTTAATCAAATGGAATGCAGAATGTGAGCTGACCCTGAGTATAAGGGGGAGGAAATGTTACTCAAAACATGTGACCAACTAGCTTTTATATCCTTTTACTTTCCTTCTATTAAAAATATGTGAAAATAAAATAACTACAAAATTATACATAATTTTA